TGAGTCTCTGCCTGATCAACTCGACCTGGTCCGCTGTCTCCTCGATCATCTTAGGACCGAGTACTCGTCGCTCTCCGACGTCGTCCCAATAAAGAGGGGAACGACACTTGCGACCGTATAGTGCCTCGTAAGGAGCCATCCGAATGGAGGAATGATAACTGTTGTACGCGAACTCTGCGTACGGCAACAGTGACTCCCACTTGGCACCCCTGTCAACCACCAGGGCACGAAGCATATCCTCGAGTGTCTGAATCGTCCGCTCTGACTGACCATCTGTCTCTGGATGGTAGGCCGAACTGAACTCAAGCTTGGTGCCCATCGCCTCATGTAAGCTGTGCCAGAATCGGCTGACGAATCTGGGATCTCTGTCTGATACAATTGTGACGGGCACTCCGTGGAGTCGGATGATCCAACGGGTATATATCTCAGCCAACTTATCCAGAGACATCCTCATTGAAACGGGTAAGAAATGAGCCACCTTGGTCAATCTGTCGACCACGACCCAGATAGCGTCGTGATGTTCAGCCGAACTCGGTAATCCCGTAACGAAATCCATAGTGACTTCCTCCCACTTCCACCTTGGAATCGGCAGTGGCTGTAGGAGGCCAATTGGACTCTGATGCTCGGCCTTGACTTGCTGACAGGTTAGACATCGCCTAACGAATTCGGCGACGTCCTTCTTCATGCCTCTCCACCAAAACGACCCTTTCAAGTCGTGGTACATCTTCGTGCTCCCGGGGTGGGCCAAGTAAAGTGCGGTATGTGCCTCTGATAAAATCTCCTTCCGCAATGCCTCGGCCTTCGGGACCACGATCCTACCTCTGAACTCCAAGGCACCATCGGCACCTAGCTGAAAATCCTGTACACCTCCGGCGCGAACTTTGGCCTCCATGACACGATCAAACTCGTCAGAAGCCTGCTCTCGTCGGATTCTCTCCCTCAGTGTCGGCTGAAGCTGCATAGCACTGACACTGGCACTAGTGCTCCCTGAGACAGTTGTGGGGAGTGCATCAATCGCCTGAAGCTGCATCCGGGCGAACTCATGGATCAATGGACTCTGCTGCGTAATGACGTACGTCAAGTCTCCCGTCACCTTTCGGCTTAGGGCATCTGCGACGACGTTCGCCTTCCCCGGATGGTACTGGATAGAACAATCGTAATCCTTGACCAATTCGAGCCAACTGCGTTGTCTCATATTAAGCTCCTTCTGCGTGAAAATATACTGTAGGCTCTTATGGTCAGTAAATATCTCGCAGCGTCCGCCATAAAGATAATGACGCCAGATCTTCAGGGCGTGAACGACTGCGGCTAACTCTAAGTCGTGCGTAGGATAGTTCTGCTCATGGGGCTTAAGCTGACGTGAAGCATACGCAACGACCCGTCCGTCCTGCATAAGGACACATCCCAAGCCCTGTCTCGAAGCATCGCTATAGATAGTGAAACTTTGAGAAGGGTCGGGGATCGTCAACACCGGTGCTGTAGTCAATCTCCTCTTGAGCTCCTGAAAGCTCGCCTCACATCTGTCAGTCCATTCGAACTTCACAGACTTCCTCGTCAGCTGGGAAAGAGGGAGGGCAATCTTGGAGAAGCCCTCGATAAACCTGCGATAATAGCCAGCTAATCCGATAAAACTGCGAACCTCGGACGGATTCCTCGGTGTCGACCAGTTCTGCACGGCTGAAACTTTAGAAGGGTCCACCTCGATGCCTGCCTGGGTAATAACATGACCCAGAAAAGATACTCGCTGAAGCCAGAATTCGCATTTGGAAAATTTGGCGTACAACTTCTCTCGTCTGAGGGTTTCGAGAACCACCCTCAGATGCTCCTCATGCTCCTTCTGACTCTTCGAGTAGATAAGGATATCGTCAATAAAGACAATAACGAACTGATCGAGGTATGGATGAAAGATTCGGTTCATGAGATCCATGAACACTGCTGGCGCATTGCTGAGACCGAAAGGCATGACTACAAACTCGTAATGGCCGAAACGAGTCCTGAAAGCGGTCTTAGCGATGTCTGACTCCTTAATCTTCAGTTGATGGTAGCCTGATCGTAAATCGATCTTCGAAAACACACAGGCTCCCCTCAACTGGTCAAATAAGTCATCTATCCTGGGAAGCGGGTACTTATTCTTAATCGTCAACCGGTTGAGATCCCGGTAGTCGATACACATGCGCCTAGATCCGTCCTTCTTCTTAACAAAGAGAACGGGTGCTCCCCACGGTGACACGCTC